CGCAAGCGAAGTCTTGGCGCGCACAAAGATCGATTCGTAAAACTCTTGCCAAAATTCGAAATTTCACGCCCGTCGAAAACGTATCCCTCTTCTGCATCATCTTATAAACTTGTCCTGATCCCTCTCACGTCCATCCCAAAGAGCTATCTCTCAGATTTGTGCTCCACGCTTTGCTTCCTCCGTCGGGTATAAACATCGGCGTAAGCGTGTATTTGGTGACCGGCTGAGGCCAGAGAAAGTCGACGAGACGTGTGGTCATTGAAACGAGGATGTACTATATCGTACTTGTAGACTTGATGAAGCTTAGTTGAGAATCGGACTCTTTGGGGGTGAAAGATTGACATGGTGGAGTAATTCGAATTTTTGCCTCGTGGGCCAACTTCTTTGATATTGCGAAATTTGACTGAACTTGGCTCTGGGAGAATATTTCACTCTCAGGTTCGTAGAGGACACCGCGTACAGGTGTCGGTCGCACCTGCACTGGTGTGACCCCACATCTAGCTTGACATTCCGTTGTAACCATTTCGCTAGTTACCGAAATTCTGCCTTCGAGTGTTCTGATATATAGTGGTACGTGTGGCACTATCATTGACGTCCAATCCGACGCTGCTTCGATGCAGATGTTTTCTTGCTGAAATATTCCTGCAACTCCCAGTATTGTTTCTCAAAGCCCGTCTGATGCGCGCTCCAGTGCTAGGCCTGATTGAACCTGATGCATAACCGTGATTGTAGATGCTGCAACTCCAGCTTTCACAGTGATCAACTTCTTTATAGTGAATTTTTTAAGTAGATAGAGGGCCACTTAGAGCAGAGCGGAGAAAAGTGAATTGATTATTAACTGATATATAAAAGGTATCAATAAAGACCATAAAAAACGTAGTGAAAATATAACAGAATAAATCAGTGAGTGAGTGAGAAAAGAGCGATCATTTACGCTGTGTTCTCTTGTCATAGAAGTGGAGCCACACTAGTACCTGTTCATACAAATCTTACAGGGGAGACGCGACTAGAGTGTGAATAGTGGATTTAGGGATTGCGTTGGGAGCCCTTACCTAATTAAGGTAATCGTTACTAATAAGATTATATTTCATGTTCTAACATGACTGGAGACAATTTGCGCCAGTCGCGTTCTTGCCCCAATCTGAAAAAGAGACGTTTGTCTTCTTTTGGGGGTTTTTGTGCATTAGGCCTTACATCTGTAGTGGGCCTTCGAGGGGTGGGGAACGCGGGCGGATCTGAGAGCTTAGCCGCTTTCCGAGCTACTGTAACCCACGAGTTCTCAGTCTCCTGTGGCTTTTGAGGCTGTCGGTGATGCGACTTATCGCTTGTTTTTGTCGCCCTAGGCGCAAAGGTTGCTATCTCCGTGGCTTCGGGGTGTGGGGTCTTGCCTTTGGGGACTGTGGCATCGGTCTTCCCTATTGCAAACGCTGTCACTATAGGTGATATTTTTTCGATGAATGGCGCGACTAGAACCGCGCCTTCAGTTTCTGCCTTGGATTTCGACCAGGCGTCGATATTTTGCAGAATGTCTTGAGCTAGGCTCATTCTCTGCTTTCGTTCGCGCTCTGATTACTCCATCGCAGCAGCAATCCCAAGAAGGCTCGGGTGTGGTTGGTCGCCTGGGTCGATTAACACCGAGGACGACGGCTGATTGTGCGCAGCCATAGTGCTGCTCAATTTGACGGGTTTAAGAAACCAGGATAAGTATAATGATATGCGCGTATGGTTTGGTTTGGTTTGGTTTGGTTTGTTCATTAACGTGCTAGGTTACATGACTACCGTTGCACTCTTACTGGGCCTTAAGCACGAGTGGGGTCGGGCCGGATCAGGTTGACTATCATGAAGTACAGATATACCTCGTCCCACTTAAATGACTGGACCGCCTCAGACTTCAACTATATGTTTAATCATACCAAGTCTGAGCGTTCAAAACCCCACTGTATACACGCCGTAGCGCAATTTCTTCCTCAGCCTCGGCCACCACGCGCCCGAGCCCTTGACATCCTCATTGACTCCGAAAAATAATTGCCGTCCAAGATCTCATCGTTGCTCTAGCCTTGCACCTTGATATCGTAACGTTGGGTTGTTGTCGTCATCGGGGATTTGTCCGATCCCCTCAGTGTATCTTCCCTTTTCTTCCTCCTTTGTACACGTCCCGTTTCCATCATGACTTTCCTCATTAGGGCGTGCGTAGGTAGATGATATGACGAGAATGGAGGTGGGTCGCAGGTGTAGGGGAAACTGAGATATGGTAAGTCGTAAATAAATAAGGAGTCTGAGAAATGTCAGATGTTTGAATACGACCCCCAGACAGACCTAGGCCCATTCATGAATTGTATGTTGGTGGTGATGAGTTTTTAATCGACTTTTTTCCGGCTGTGAAATCTCTGCCAACTGACTTTTCGACCAAAATATCGAGTGCAACTCCTTCAAGTTGAAAATCCATCAATTAAAATTTATCCCACCCTTTTTCGTGACTGAATCTCGGCTCTGGGAGAATATTTCACTCCCAGGTTCGTAGAGGACACCACTGACAGGTGTTCAGCCTTCGTCCTCCGGTGTTAAGGCCTTTGTTATATGTTCTATGATTTTTCTCCGTTATCATTTCATAGCTAGCTAGCTGTCTACGCGTCGAGCGAAGCAGGTGTCTAGGCTACAGAAAACTTAATCCGAGGAGATGACGACCAGGAGGCGGACCACAACACCTTCCGTCGTTTCCAGTTTTTAAAGTGTCGCTGTCACTATGCGAATGGTAGCCTCGGCACCTACAAATACCCAAAATTCGAAGAGACTCGACAATATAAGTCCCAGCATGTCCATTTGTGTCCTTTTCCTTCGTTCGTCCCACGTCCCAGGTGCTAGTCTTCCCTCAAGATGTGAAGCCCCATTAGAGCAGCGGCCCCCCAGACCAAGACCCGAGTTTTGCACATTATCACTTAGTTTCCTCATCGTGGGTATACGCAGTATCGGAACTTTATATGGGGGGATGGGGTTTTTCATGAGGCAAATTCCCGATTGCAATTGCAGTAATGTTTTTATCGATAGTTGAGGCGAGGTTGTGTAGCAAGATCGAGGTATAGGACTCGTGTGATAATGACAGGTCCGACATTAACGATGAGTCGTAGATATTAGACATGCTTAAGGTTGCTTTCGACTTCGATCCGGATGCAAATTTTCTTGACTATTCCACATATGCAGAGGAAACTAGCCAATTACACCGACACTACTGGAAAGTGAAGAATTCGTCTTTGCCGATTAATTTAAATTTGAGTCATCTATTCTGCACCTTTTTTCTGATCCTGTATCAAAGCTAGATAGCTGCATACGAAGTAAAAATCCACTAACAAAAGTAGACAAAAGTTGCATTGCCTAATTTTTTAAATGTTATGACATAATGACATATTGCATAGAGCAGCAGATATGTGGAAACTAATGCCTGCATAAAATGATTGGGCATGGTGCTGGCCTGAGCTTGAGTAAAGCAAGATAGGATCCATGAGGCAACTAACGGAGGTAGCTTGACACGAATAATCTAATAATAATTACTGCGAACTCGTCGATCCCAGGAATCACATCCGAATATGCTCCTGGCATCTCAGATCGCTCAATCTTTGTCAAGCTGCTCTAAAATATACCAAGATGTCTGTAGGAACGAATCAATCGCTAGCCAACGCCTTGGATTCATCTGCCACCTTTCTGAACTTATCATGCCTAGACTTTCTAATGATCGAGCTTGTGCCAATGATGTATCGAGTAGTGAACGACGTAGATTCCACTGCTCCAGAGGAGCGAGCTGCAAAGCAAGAAAGCAAAAACGTGAACACTGACGAGAAAGTTTCGTATGGAAAGTCTGGCAGCACAACAGGGACAATTAATGTTCAGATGAAGCAGATGGAAGAAGATGATGAAAAAGATGCTGTATTCTTTCGTTTGGAAGCGCTGGGATATCGTGTCGGTCAGGGGCTTGTCGAGAGGTAAATTATAAATATTCCCAGTGTTGTTTAGCTGTAGTTTCAAAATTTCGAGGAATAACAGCAGACTAATGATAATAGATTCTCGAGGGAAAGGCAGCGTTTTATTGACACTCTTGATGTTATAAAATTTATCTGCAAAGACCTGTGGCAACTACTTTTCAAGAAACAACTTGACAATCTCAAGACCAACCATCGAGTTTGTAGTCCTATCCTGATACAATATGTAGGCACGAACTAATCTCTATCGTGCAACTAGGGTGTATACGTCCTTACAGACCACTCTTTTAGACCATTTGCGCGTATGAGTACAGAAGCTGGCGGTCAGGCTGTTATACGCGCTCAGCCAGTACGTTTTGGATTCGAACCCTCCAAATCACACATACTAACGACTAAACTTGTAGTATCTATGGTTTCCCTGCGGAATTATACGCGGTGCATTAGCAAATATGGGTATCGATGCAACCGTTCAAGCAGAGACCAGCGAGCTACCCGGGGCAATATTTCAAATTAAAAGTAACACCAAATTTTAGAACTCAAACTAATCCCCGCTTTACCTAGTAGTTTATCACTTTCTGCTAAGATAGCCCAGAGGTATTGGCAAAAATTCAATTGGCGTAAGTTTAAAGATTGGATTTGTACGGAGTTATGGTATTCATTGCGTTGAGAAGGTCATAAGGTGGTGAGTAAATGGGCCAGGCTAATGTTTTCCAAAGAACTCATTGGGGAATTTTGTGCGAAGAAAATATTAATTGTCATATATCAATACTACTGTAAATATGAAAGCGAGCATAGTTTAATGTACTTATTCGTAAAGCATACATTGACCCATGACTTAGAGTGAACTAGTCAGAGCTTACCTAGGCACAGCCGACGATCAGCCAGGTTTCAGAACAGAATCAGGCAGAATTTTAATCTAATTAAGAATAAAGCTACAAGCTAGTATGATTACTCCCTTGATGCACATGTTCCTTAGTTAGATAAGCAGCCTGATTCCAAATGGGGTGCGAGAAGGGCTTTGAGAGAATCTTAGAGAAATTCACTTTGCGGTGTGTGAAAAAAGGTAATTCCCTTTTCAATATTTTCTTTTAAACCCCCGATTGCCGCTTTTATCAGGTTCTTTTCATCGTCGGTTGCATTAGATATTGGGTCTTGAATTTTTTCGGCTCCGTTGGTCTATGAATGTCAGAAAATGTAAACCAATTCAAAAGATATTGTTCTCACACTCAATTCAATCGGAACAGAGAAAAAGTCAACGCCGACTTCTTTTTGAATTTCTGCGCCACCTGTAATACCTGGAAGATACACAAAGCTTGGTTCAACTATACCTTCCTCGCCTCCAAGGGCTTTAAGGAGAGATTCTGTGAATCTGATAAGCAGTTAGCATGTTTTTGATATATTTTATTAACAACAAACCTAAAAGCAGCATATGCCATGGAGAGGGTTGCCGAACCGCTCCCCTCCTTGGCCTTCACAACTTCGTCGCCACCAAACTGGACTCGCTTTACCAATTCGGCTAGCTTTGTAGATTCGATTGAAATTGATGGATTAGCTTGACTAAAAAGAGGCACAATTGTTTCTCCAGAGTGGCCTCCAACAACAGGAATAGTTATATTTAGTGGGTTTTTCTCTCCAGTTATTTCAGCAGCGAATGTTTGGGCACGAACCACATCGAGAGTGGTAATGCCAAAAAGCCTTCGAGGATCAAAGACACCCTTGGACTTGAGGGCTTCAGCTGCAATTGGCACAGTCGAGTTGACTGGGTTTGAAATAATTAAGATATAAGCTTTTGGGGCAACTTCGGCAACAAGTTCAATGATACTTTTGACGATGCTGGCATTGATGCTGAAAAGATTATCACGATCCATCCCTGGTTTCCCTGTTAAATGCTAAGGTCAGTTAATTATTCGAGTGCTCGTGTCACTTGGTCTATCATACGAGGGATTCCGGCAGGGACGATGACAATTTCGGCACCTTCATAGGCTGCTCTCTCTCCACCTCTTTCTGGAAGAAATGCTGTGACTTTCTATTAAATTGTTAGCTTCCATTCATCTAGATTATTGAAGGATTCATACCGCAGTCGATGGGATGTGAGAGAGGTCGGCTGCCCATCCTGGAGTATTCAAAATATCATAAAGAACTAGTTCACTAATTAAAGGACAAGTTTTCAATAAGAGACTTAGAGGCTATCAAGTTTTAGAAATTAGTTCTCTTTTGGTCTTTTCTCCTCTAGCTCACTTGTCCAATGCCACCTGAGGATCCCGCCACAACTAACAGGCTGTTAATGTTCTGTTCAGTTCTGAAATTAAATTCTTCTCTGCTTACCTATCTTGAATCCCATGTTGTTAAATGTTAGATGCGTAGAATTTCTCTGCTATTGAATCTTGCTTAAAATTTGGGTGTTGACGACTAGTTACCCCGCACAGGGTTAACAGTAATTCTTTAGTGACGTAGCCGCTAGAGAAATTGTAATAACTGACCAGACTAAAATTTCGATGATAACGAGTAGGGAGAAAGTATGAATCGAAACCTACATAGATTTCTATCTTATATCTAGCGTACCTATCTACGTCAACAAGTTTCGAACACACATGCTTATCTTCCAAACTAGGCGACGACGGGGGTTAAGCTCTCGTCCGGGACAAGGATATATAGTACAAGTGCTGGGCACCTATTCGCTGAATCATGTTAGCAACTTTATAACTGCCTAACAATCTGCCCTGTTCGGGGAGGAGTGCTTGAACCTGCATGGCCACCCGGATGTTTCCAGTCTGCTCGAACTTGCACATAACGTGAGGCACCATATTCCCGCTTTTTTAAGACAAAGCGCTTGTTAAATTGGAAATGTGAGGCACGTATCTTGAAATATTCAAAAAGCCAACCTGCAATTCAATCGATGCGGAGGGGGACTATTCTCAACACCTGTCAGTGGTGTCCCCTACCAACCTCCAGCTCTCACTGTAGAGTCTGCAGAGCCGAGATTGAGTAACAAAGTCCTCACTTCGATGAGGATTCCCAATCGCTTTCGCGGTCTGCATCGTCTTCATATCTAAACACATTCCCCTATCACCACTATCATGAAGCTAACCACGATCAGATCAGATGGTAGGGTCGGAGCCCTACTCGTCACCCACCCTTGATCATGGAGGAAAAGCCATCCGATGAGTTTCCGGAGCGTACCCAGCACCCGATACGGCGATGGCGGATTGGATCAAGCCGGCCTCGAATGTTACAAAGAAGGGAGATATAGATGAATATGCGCACCTCATATGGTCCCGGTGTCTAGGCCTCGCCTGGCTGGGGCTGCAGGTTTTTTGAGACTTTTTCCCGCGCACGCAGTTTCCATTGCTACCATTTTTTTTTGCGTAGAAGGTTCCGTGGAAAATATGGTTGAGTTTCGTGGGTAAATACTGAGCTGAATGGCTATTCATCACGGGCAATACATCAATGAACTTTCAAGAAACATGAGAGGCAAGGAACACTCTACAAGGTGTGGCCTGGGTCAGAGAGGAGCTCAATGTGCTAGATAGTCATAAACTCAAGTAGTACAATAAACACAAACACAAACCGATGCGGGTGAGATAGTCAAAGAATGATTGATTGAAGACTAATCAATTACTTTTCAGGCCTTTTTTGTAATTGCTAGGGCTCTTTATTCCGTATGTCAAAATATAGGGTCGTGAATGATGAGGCTTAAAATAAATCTTAAAGAATCCCCTAAATTATTTCTTTGATTTGTTTTGGTGTTCATTGTGCTACTCGATTCTAAGATAGTCTGATACCTTGGGCCCATCTCTGACCCAGGCTACACCTTGTATATCGCTCTATCCCCCTTTTTGATGAAAGAAGGGCCTCTGATGTATCAATCGGGAGATATCTTTTCCTTTGGTTGAGTGGGATAAAACCCCCTAAAAGCAATCAATCTTCTAAAGTTGTAATGGTACCGAAAAATGGCAACAACACTTTCCTGATTGCACCTTAGAAGAATTCCGGCAGGAGAGCTGGACATTTACTGTCCCATGGTTAGACTAGATACACAGGAAATCAAGGACTTTCTAGGTATTATTACTTAAAGTATTTTCCCCTTCCAAATGGGCAGCGTTCAGATCAGCTTTTACGGAATTGAAAAATGTTTGATTATAAATCAATTTCTTCCCGTTTTCCGTCGAAACCGTAGGAACTTTGTAGACCATACGTCCCAGGCAATCTACAGTCTTCGCACTTGGGTGCTCAGCATCATTGAGGATGGGTCGAATCAGACTGAGCACCAACAAGGACATGAGCTTCACCATACCTGAGTGGCCGGATCACCCCGCCCTCTGCTCGTGTGTCAACTCATGCCAAGTGTGGCTGCCCAGGTAACCCACATTTTTTTGCATCAGATTTTAATTGCGTATGCAGCTATGAAGCTGAGGCACAATATCATTGATAATGTAATAAATAGATGACTCAATGTAGTAGATAAAGCACTCATGCCTCGGACTTCGTGCAAGAATACCACTGTGAGGTTATGGTGACTTTTTCTCCATCTCATTTCAGCCCTCATCCTTATTCCCAAATAAGGAAAATTCATAAAAACCCAAGATATGCAGACTAGCCTCAATCGTCCAACTGCTTATCTTCGCGCGAAATGCGGCCTGAGTCGTTTCAATTTCAAGTGGATTAGGTGCCCAGGCTACTCAAATAATCCGCCGTAACGCGGCGGAGCGGAAGCCCCTCAACATCTTCCGTTTGTTGCTCTTGCCCCTCCTTCCCCTGCCCTGTCCTAGCTCCTCGTCATGTGAATAAGAAATAGCTTCAGTACCTCTAGGATTAGAAATGTTAAGCTTAAAACTGGGATAATTAAGGGATTAGCCCAGTAGGCGCAGTTAGGCTAGCTCGTAATAGGTTAGACTGTCTCTCCTTCTTACCCCGCTCGCCATGAAGTATTGTCCAATCGTCTTCTTCAAACAATCGCTTAGAAAAATACATTTTCAACGACACTCTTAGCTGCCTGACCTACACAGTCCCCGAAACTTAACATCACTATTAATTCATCCTCTATTCTAGCAAACAATGTCTCTCGAAAAGTCTGCTTCAGAAACTAAAGCTCGCAAGCATCTAACTCGCGATCAATTTAATGAAATAAGAACATTGAGAAGACTTGGCTTGACATCGCAAATGATATTCGAAGAACTTGGCTTCACAATAAGGCAAGTGAAATTTGCGTGAACTCGAGAGACTGAGAATCCTACGCCTCGCAAAGGATGCCGACCTAAATTAAGCGCGGAGCAAGTTGATGAGCTTGAGGCTTTCGTCCGGGAATCTCCTAAAACTCGATAGATGTGCTAGTTGGAACTTGCAATGGATCCCTTCAGTCTTGTTTTTTTTTGCATCAGATTTTAATTGCGTATGCAGCTATCTAGCTATGACACAATATCAAAGAAAGGTATAGAAAAGATGACTCAATTACAAGAGAAGTACTCATGCCTCGGATTTAATCTGCAAGTACCACTGCGAAGTTATGGTGGCTTTTTGTTCACCCAAAGTCAACCCTCATCCGTGAATACCCACCCAGGGGAACGTCTCCAAACCCCTGAGTTATCCAGACATGCCTCCATCATCTCTCAACTTTTCTCCGCGCGATATGTGATCTGAGGTGTCTCCTTCCCAAGTGGAGTAGGTGCCCAGGCTACTCAAACCATACCAGAGAACATCACTAGGAGGCGGATCACTACACCTTCCATCGTCTGCTTGATTTTATAGTGTGAGCTGCACTCTCGCAAACGAAGCCTTGGCGCACTCAAAGCTCAAATTGTAAAAACTCCTTGCCAAAATTCGGAATATCACGCCTTTCGAGGTTATATCCTTCCTTCGCATCATCTTGTCAACTTATCCTAATCCCTCTCACGTCCACTCCAAAGAACTGTCTCCCAGACTTGTGAGCCACGCTTGCTTCCTCCATCTGGTGTAAAAATCGGCGTGGGCGTGTATTTGGTGGTCAACTGAGGCCAGAGAAGGTTGAAGAGAGGTGTGGTCATTGGGATAAGGATGTATTAGGTCGTACTTGTAGACTTGATGATACTTAGGTTGGAGTCAAATTCGTTGGGAGCGAAAAAACGACGAGGTGGAGTAATTCGAATTTTTGCCTCGTGGGCCAACTTCTTTGATATTGCGAAATTTGACCGAACTTGGCTCTGGGAGAATATTTCACTCCCAGGTCCGTAGAGGACACCGCATACAGGTGTTCAGTCTTGCCCTCCGGTCCCTTCAGTCACTGGGGATGTAATGATCATTAACTTTCAAATACCCTCGATAAAATAGATTACAGCAGATGCATTGCTCGGAAGAAGATTCCGTTAAGTGTGGTTAACATGCACGAAAGATGTATAGCGGTGATAAAGGAAAATGGAGGGTACACAAAGTATTAGGATGGAGCAGACTAAAACAAAACATCTTGTACGCTTTCATTTTAGTTGTGAGCCATACTGAGGGCTTCGATGTATAATTTGTAATGCAAAGCAATTATTTTTGAAATAGATGTGTATTTTTAGATAATATCAATTGATAATGAAAATTTCTTCGTGACGGGCACAAGCCCTGCACTCATGGAGCGTGACACGGAGAAGACTAGCTTCTCCAGCGACTATATACGGCGATAACCCAGTTTGACATTTAGACTACTCATGTAGTGGGTGCATTCGCTGATACCACTCGAGACCTTGGTGCTAGTGACTTTCACCCTTACCTCAACCTTTTTCTTTTATAGTGTACTCGGCTATCTAGCTATGACACATTATTTACATAATTTAAGTCCCAAAACTCTTCCCTCAACCGTTAATATCCACCAAAGGGAAAACATGAAAAACCTTTGGCTACCCTAACATGCTTCTGCCATCATGTATATAGCCGCCGTGCGAGATACGGCCTCCCAGTCCTCCCTTTTTCGAGTGAGATAAGTGTCCAGGCTAGCCAGACTTTAATTCGGGGAGATGACGACCAGGAGACGGACCAAAACACCTTTTATCGTCACCTGTTTTTAGAGTGTCGGTTGCACTATCCAAAATCGTTGCTTCTGCATCCACATAGATACTTAAGTCGAAGACACTCGAAAAATGTGCGTCCCACGTCCCAGCTGCCTGTCCTCCTTCAGGATGTGAAGCCCCATTAGAGCAACAGTCCCCTTTAGACTAAGACCCAAGCTTTGTAAATTTTGACTTAAATTCCTCCTCGCGAGTATACATAGCGTCGTAAATGCGTAGTGGGAGATGGCCGGTTTTTGATGAGGCAAATGC